TAAAAAAACTTTGCTTCTGCAGTTGTGGAATTCTGCAGCAGGTCATTTTAGGCTCCTACCTATGGTGTGCTTTCTGATAGCTATTATAACTGCTAAAAGAGCTAAATCAAAGGCTATGAATGTTTCAGTTATGTGAACAGCTAAAGTCACACTAATGGCATTGTTGGCAAATGTTACCTTCAATGGACTTTGATCATAAAGAAACTCAAAGCATTAAAAGCTTGATTTAGCTATAAAAACTGCAGCTTCATCTTATCTTAATCTTAAGATTTTTTTTTCCCCAGCAATTATATTTTTATTCATGATAAAGTTTGAACTCACTCTCCAAATCCCGCTACTTTATTAGAATGTTTTTATTTGTTATTGTGTATTAAGAACCTTAATGTCATTCATAAACAACCTAAAACATAGTTCAAAATTCAAATAATAAAAAACCTGGAAATACTGGATGGTGGAAGAGAAGCAGGTATGATGTGGGAGGCTGAAGGAAGTTTCCTATCATAGCATGCCTTGGAAATATTCAATTATGATTAAAATACTTAGACATTATTTATAGTTCTGCTCTAGTCTGAACAATTTTAGTAAAAGCATTATGCATCGGAGACACACAGCTTTACATCCTAGAATACCCACAAACTACCAAGGCATTTTCCATAATTTACTTTTATGTGCTTCAATTTGAAATGAATTTTATGGACTTAATCGGAATAATTAATTGGGAAATTATCATGAGAAAAAATAATTCAGAGTTGACCTTTCCTGAGCTGCATCTTATCTGATAGGTTTAGCAAGCAATGTCTTTAATTGAATTTGTCAGCAACAAAAATATGTGTGCTAACAGCTGCTGACTTACATTTTGCAATTCTTATTATTATCTCAGATATATTTTTAAGCAGATGAAGAAAGAGTGGGAATATAATGAAGTCAGCTACAATAGCAAAATGTCATTAAAAAAGTAGTAGTACTCATTGCTTTTTTGAAATAACTCTTTCGTATTCATGCGAGTTGAAACAGCTTTCTTGTCACTTGTTAAAAAAAAATCAGAAATTACAATGTTTCACATAATGTGAATAAATAATCAATAAATACTGAAATAAAGTGTTATTTCAGTAGTCTTCAAGGTATTGCCAAACAAACCTGCAAAGTTTTGTACTGATTTTGTGAGAAGGGAATTTTTAATTTATTATTTTTTTTATTACTTATTTTGTTTATTTATTTTAAATTCCTTCTTCTAGAGTATTTTAGCATCACTGAATTATGTGTCCAAGAAAGGAATTATGAAAAAGGTCACTGTCTTCCAGCCTTATCCAAAGAATTTTTGGAGAAGGTACTAATAACAGTTTATTTCAAAAAATTTTTTTTCAGTCTTTTAGACAAATTTATATGTAGCATTTTTTCTGATGCTATTTCACCTAAATTCTTGCTGTAGAACTAAAGGAGGCTGCTCATATATTTCAATCGTTGTTTAAAAGGAAAAATATCATCTTCAAGAAAGTATATCACTTCTCATTAACCCAAGGGGACTGAGGGTATATGAAATTATCTCTAGCTCACATACCAAAATGAAGTAAGTATCAGACCTTCTGGTTTTGAGATACAATTATTTTTCCTATAGTCATCAATATAGTGAATTCTTCCGAATTTAACAAATAATAAAGTATAACTGGTTATTATGGCATTAAAGCACTACAATTGTAACATCTAATGCTGTGTTTGTATAATGTGGAAATCTTCAGAGGCATTAAAATAGAAGTAACCCATCAGACAACTTACTAGAAGACAACTTATTGGTTGTGCTAGTCTACATGAATGGATTCTATCAAGCAAACAACTATGAAAGACAAAAGCTTTAGGCAGAAATGTAAGTCCTCTTTATCCTTGAGGGAATCTACAGTTCCTCCAAATTAGTATAATCTGCAAATTTACATGGTACTTATTTGACTCCCATACCTTTTATAAAAACATCAGAGAAAACTGGCTCCAGAATACAGCTCTTTGAAACCCCCCCAAGTGACTGATCTGTAATTACCAGGATCTTCATTCTTGCCCATCTTGAAAACTGGGAAGTTAGCTAACTCCCAGTCGACTGAGACCTCTCCAGATTCCCAAGACCATTGGAAAAAAAAAAAAAAAAAAAAAAAAAAAAGGAGAAAAATCTCACAAAGACATCTGAGAACTCTCATAGAGCTCTGGGATTTGCCCTATCAGGCTTACATGCATTCAGCTGAAGCTGCAATTCCAACACAAGTTTGAATTTGGCTGTACGTTTATATAGTCACAGTCTTCCAGCTCAGAACCTTGGGAGTCCCAGGGCCATCATTTGTTTTGAAGACAGTATCTAAGACATTAAATTTCTGTGCTTTTTCTAAGTTCCTAATTATGAGGTGACTAAATTCATCATGTAATAGACCAGAGTTATCTCTGGTCCTTCCTTAGCTATTAACATACTTTAAAAAGCTTAATTCATTGTCCCCACAGCATTGGAAAGCTTCAACTTCTTTCATGTTAAAAGTTTTTTAAAGCATGAGACATCACAAAGAACAAATAGAGAAAAGCAGTAAAAATCTGATCCTGTTATTAGAAATGTAATTAATAATCCAAATAGAAATTTCAGACTATTATCTTCTTTGCTGCCTTAGTAGAAAACAACATGCAAGTATTTTTGATGAATGAGAAATTTACACAAAGTATTTGAGTTCATAATTAAAAAGAATAATCAATGTGTTTCCATAATGCAAGTTATGTAACAGTCTTTTAAATAAAAAAAAATCATCTACTGCATAGACACTTCCATAGAATCATTGGATAGCTTGGGTTGGAAAGAATCTTAAGTATAACTTACTTCCAACTGCACTGCAATGGTCAGAGTTGCCATTGGGTTGCCTCAAGCTCCATCTATCCAGGCCTTGAATGCCTCGAGTAATGGGGCATTCATAACTTCTCTGGGTAATTTGTTGCAGGGCCTCATCACCCTCTGAGTGAAAAATTTCCTTCAAACATCTAATCTAAATCACCCTTCTTTCAGTTCAAAAGCATTCTCCCTCTTCCAGTCATGTAATCATGAGTCCATGTAAAAAGTAACTCTTCCTCCTTTTTTTTTAAGCTCCCTTCAAATACTGGAACGCTGCAATGAGGTCTTCTTGAATCCTCTTCTTCAGGCTGAACAAGTCCAGATTCTTCTTCATAGGAGAGGTATTCTAGCTCTCTCATCATCTTCATGGCCATCCCCTGGTCCAGCCCCAGCATCTCCATAATTTCCTTTGGTGGGTATCCCAGGTCTATACACAGTACTCCATATGAGGTCATTGTGACAGCAGAGTAGAGGGAGCAATCTCCTCCCTTGCCCCTTTGTCCACGCTTATTTTTATGAAGCCCAGGATACAGTTGTTCTTTCGGGCTCCAAGCACACACTACTGGATCATGTCCAGCTTTTTACCCACCAGAACCCCAAGCACTTCTCTACAAGATTGCTCTCAACAAGTTCCTCTCCCAGTCTGTACACATATCTGTGTACAGGCTGGGATTGCCCCAATCAAAGTGCAACACCTTGCACTTGACTTTTTTGAATATCAGTCTGTTCACAGGGACCTACTTTTCACTCTTGCCCAGTTTCTTTTTGATGACATCTCTTCTTTCTATCATATCAATTGCATAATAGCACTTGCGGGAAATCATTTCTCCTTTTAGATCAAGGTATAGTAGATCATAATCTATCTCAGTGATCAGAAAAAAAAAGGTGATTCAGAAGACTGACATGTTAACAGATTCTGGTCTGAGTGATATTAGTATTTTAAAGTCAAATATAACTTTATTTACTTTATAAATTCTCCATTTAACAGTGAGAATATAACAAAGTAGAGAATAAGAATCCATGCTGTATGGTCTTAGCTTTGCAATTGATGTTTATGATATAATGCCCACTACTATTTCCTTAGAAAATGAAATAGCATACAACTTTAGTCTTCTTACTAAATAGAACCATGAAAGTTGTTTTCTTTCTGTTATTTAAATTCCGGAACATAGTTCTTTTTCATATAGCATGGATGTTTATTTGAAGTTTTCAATCTATTATTCTAGCTTTATTAATAGACAGCTAAGTGTATGCAAACAAAAAAAGAATAACAACAATAACAACAACAACAACAAAGCATAGAACAGTGTCTAGCTTAACAAAAGGCATATGATTTCTCACTGAAAGATCAACATCCATATTTCTTAGTACTCGAGTTCCAGTAGTAACATTATCTCTCAGTCTCTAGCAAAATAAAATAAGTATGATATAGTATGACTGACAGACGATATTGTTGGAGAGAAGAAAAAAAAAACACTATAGAAATCAACAGTCTTGATTATTGGAATTGTGGTTTGCACTCACTTGACCAATCATTATTCAAAACTGTTCTAACATCTAGAATTACATTACTTGCTCTCTCCACAGAGAGTCGAAAAATAAAAGAATTAAAAGAAATCTTTTACAGAAAACACACTTGTTCAAATTTTTAGTGTCATCCTATAGTGGTAGTGGTGAGCTGAAGTAGGGAAGGGAGGTAGAGAAACAGAGTCTTGAAGTAAAAAAGGTAAGTAGTTGAAAAATAGATCATTGAAGTTTGAAAAACTTTTAATATCAAACATTTCTGAATTATGGAAGCTCTTCAAAACTAACTACAGTTACCACCCTTATTTTGAGACATACTGAAGCCTAGGATTTCTGGAAAATACGTACTGGACACCAATGAATCAACAGAATTGTTCATAGATAAATAAAGTTAATTTGTAAATGTAGAATAAATCTGATATTTCTAGAGTTTCAACTTCTTATAGATCAGATCTATTGTACACCTTCAATCCTGGGTGTTGGGATCCAAGAGGGCCAAGAAGACATTTCTAAAGTTTTCTTACACAGACACCATAGCACTGAAGGATAATATTCAAGCAATTAAATCTGAAATTATGCTTTAACTGATAGAAGTATAAACTGATAAAAGTTTTAAAAAACTTACCACCTCACCACAGTGTCCCTATAAAACAGTCAGTGACTGGAGGATGAAAAGCGAAAGACTCTTCAAGTTTTCCCTGAAAAAAAAAAAAAGTTTAATTTACATACCCACATTAATACCAATATATCTTGGAGAGTTAATAAAAGAGGAGTAGTTTCTAGGATAATACAGATTTGAAAGATAATAAAGTAATTTATAATATATTAAATGGTATAAATATGAGATTTTCTGATTAAAGTATTCATGCAACAACAATTGTGCATTTAACTACATTGCCTTAAATATAAACACTTTCATGCCACTGTACTTTTTTAAAGTACTGTTTGGTATAAAAATCTAGCTTAACATCCACATACCTGCTATTAGCACAGTAAGCATAAAAATACTACCAAAACCTGCAGTACTTGAGCAGATAGAATGTTTATCTGTAAGTTACTTTTTGTGAAACTGCAGTTTATGAAAACAAAATGGTAGCCTTGCCAATTCTACAACTATCTATTTTTTTGTGTTTTTCCAAAGCAAATTTAAATCTCTACTACATGGAGGTACATTCTAACTTATTTGACACTTTCTCACTAGAAGTCAGGCTAATAGATCTATAAACTGCTAAACCAAAACTGATGAAACACACATTGAATGCAAGAGTCAACTTTACAGCAGGTAATTGAATGCCACTGTAGGAAGATACGATTAAAAGTATCCTTCCTTTTAGTTGTGTGTATCTTCATACTTTGCTTTTGAATGCTACGGGTTTATTTGTCTCCTAGCTCCATTCCACATTGCTTTGAATTCATATTATTTGCATCATGGAAGAAAAAGATAACCATTTATTGACAGTGATATTGCTATCAAGCAAAAGCTTTTCTTCTATTTCTTTTTATTAGTACTCATAACTTCCTCCCTTTCTACTTTAGTGGAATGCATTCACTTTTTGACCCTTCAGAGAAAAAAAAAAATAACAAAACAAAAAGAAAAAAACCTTTTAGGTACCAGATACTCTTAATTTTAGAATCACAGAATCATACAATACTGTATGAATGGAAAGAAAAAATGAAAAAAAAGAAAAAAAAAAAGCTTTGCTTTTAGGCAACCTGTGTGGAGCCAAGAGTTGGACTCCAAGATACTTTAAGATCCTTCTAACTCTTGGCTCCACACAGGATTGCCTAAAAATAAAACCATATATCTGAGAGCATTGTCCAAACACTTCTTGAACTTCAAAAGGCTTAGCCTCAGTTTCTTGCCATTTCCTCTTGTTCCTGTCACTGTCACCAGGGGGAAAACATCAGTACCTGCCCCTCTGCTCCCACTTTTGAGGAAGTTGTAGACCACCATGAAGTCTACCTCTAGTCTCCTCTAGGATGAGTAAACCAAGCAACTTCCGCTATTCCTCATAAATATTCCGTTAAGACCTTTTACCGCTTCTGTTGCCCTCCTTTGGACACTCTCAAATAGCCCCTTTTATATTTTGGTACACAATTTTTTTCTGCAAATGTTCTTATTATGTATCTGACTCTTCTGTTCAGATCAGTTATAAAATCATCAGAGAAAACTGGCTTCAGAATAGAACACCACTTTTGGAACACCACTACTGACTGCCAGCCTGATGTAACTCAAATTATTATTCATCAGCTTATCAGATCAACCTGTTTGACATTGGTGTTTACCCTTTAAATTATGTTTTGTCTAGCTATATATGCTGGAATTTTTGTCCTTTGAGAATCTTTGAAAAATAGCATCAAAAGGTTGGCTGAAATCCAAAAAGATAAAATCAACTATATTCACTTGGTCAATTGGATGGGTAATATTGTCATAAAAGGAAATTAAGTTCATTGAACAGGACTACCCCTTCCAATAGCTGATTCCAATAGCTATGACCAACAACTGCATATTCTTTCGAGCAACTCCCAGAATAATCATCTCCACAATATTTTAGAAGCTGAAATGACACTGATAAGCCAGTAATTACCACTCTTTTTTCTTGCCATCCTTGAAAACTGGGACAACATTTATTAGTTTCCAGTCAACTGAGATCATCACTCCAAATTCCCTAGACCACTGATTAAAAATGAGAGAGGTCTCACATAGACACCATCCAGCATTTTGAGCACTCTAGAATGAGTACCTTCTGGCTCCATGATCTCACATGCACCCAGCTGAAGCAGTAATGCTGCACATGTTCAGAATTATTTTATCACATGATAATAATCTAGACAAATTTTGGTCATAAGTAAGAATAGTGGAAATTTCTGAATGAAATTCAGTGAGGATTTGACACTATTTTCCATGAAATCCTCCTAGATAAACTGTTGCAGTACAGGCTGGCCGGAGCAGACAGGGAAGAGGATTGAAAACTGGCTGAAAAATCCATCCAGAAAGAGGCATTAAGGGGCATAAAGTCCAGCTAGACGCCCCTAACTGGTGTTCTTTGCCATCTTCATTTATGCTGTAGATGTTGGAGGTGCTGTCTCCCAGGGAAGCAGAACAGACACTCAATGCAACAAGAGTGTACCCTCAGTAAATTTGATGATGACACAAAACTGGGGGGAGAGGCTGATGCACAGTCTCAGTAAGTTCAACCCAGAGAAGTGCTAAGTCCTGCACCTGGGGAGGAATATCCCTGTGCAGAAATTCATTCTGATCCCCAGCCTGCTGCAAAGCAGCTTTACAGTAAGGATCCAAGCAATACATGAGACAACTGAATATGAGATAGGAATGAGTCTTTGCTGCAAAGAAGATCAGTAGATTCCTGGGCTGCATCAGGGGAAGTGTCATGAAAATGTCAAGGTAGGTGACCCTTTGCCCACTGCTGGTAAGGCCCCATGTGGGGTACTGTATCCTTTTTTCCTCCTTCCTCTCCAGTACAAGAGAGACATGGCTGTACTTAAGAGAGTACAACATAGGGCCATGAAGATGATAAAGAGGCTGGCTCTCATAAAGAAACTTTGGGAGATCTAAGATTGTTCAGCCTAGGGAATAGAAGGCTAGGAATGGATTTTATCAAAGCAGATAAATAAGCACATAAAAGAAGGGTGGAAAAAAATGGCAGAGCAAGGCTTTTTCAAATGTATCGAGTAACAGGACAAGGTAATGGGCAATAACGGTGACACAGGACGTCTCTCTGAACATAAGGACTTAGTTTTTTACTTTGGAGGTAACTGAGCACTGGCACAGATGTGTGAATTTTCTGAAGACACTGAAATGTCATCAGGACATGAATGTGGGTTATCTGCTATGTGTCACTTTGAGCAAGGGAATTGTACAATATTCAACTTAAGTCATTCTGTGATTCTGTTTAGCACAAATGATATTCGTGACAGTTAATGTGATACTTCATGACATTAATAATTTGTTGCTTTGTTTTTTTGTCAACTACCTAGCCACAATGCAATTTGAAATCACCTTTCTACTTTATTTATCTTACTGGTTACATGAAGCCACAATACTCCTAATCAAAGTGCTGGCAAAGAAATGGCAATAAATAGAAAATCATAGAATCATAGAATCATTCAGGTTGGAAAAGACCTTAAAGATCATCTAGTCCAATCATGACCTAACCATACTACCCTAACTATCAACCCTCCGCTAAATCATGTCCTTGAGCACCTTGCTGCTTCCTCTTGGTTTGCTCTGTGACTTCTTCCTGCTACCTGCTTGCTGCCCAAGGCTGGCCATGCTGTTGCTGCTCTCTCCCCCTGCTGCTTTTGCCTCGGACCTTTGAAATGGTGTGCAACAGGACCACTGCTGGATCCTGGTGGTGACTATCCCTGCTTTACACTATTCTTGCTTATTTCCTATCTTTTCTAACACCCTCCTTTCCTTCACCATCTCCCTGATTAGGATTTATAATAAACTGGTTGGACCAACATTTGAAACATTGTTTCTTAATCTCACACCAAGTATGTTATATTAAAAGAACCTCCTCTCCCTCCTATAGATTGGAGCAAGACAGTGACGCTGCTTGTCACTAGCATACACCTGAACATGTAATGCCATTCATCACAACCCTCTGCTTATAGCCTTCCAACCAATTCTTTATCGACCAGATTGTTCACCCCTCAAATCCAAATCTGTCCAATTTAGAGACAAGGATGTGGTGGGGGACCATGTCAAAGGCTTTACATAAGTCCGGGTAGATGACACTGGTTGCCTTTTCTTTGTCCATCAATGTTGTCACACCATCACTGAAGGCCACCAGATTGGTTAGTCATGACCTTCCCTTGGTAAAACTATGCTGGCTGTCTCGGAGGCAAAGTGTGTCACTGTAGACTAATAAATCCTCAATTATACCCTCACTAATCAGTGCTTACTGAAACAAAAACTATTTTTGCAAATTTCAGGATTTTAAAATCTGATTTCTCTCCTTTCCCAGCAGGAAAATAAATTGTGAGGTGTTTTCATAAGATTAAATCTGTTTTTCAGAGAGAAATCACACCCTACATCTGTTTTGTAGAAAATAAAGGAGATCGAGCATTTTGTCACAAAAACACTGTAATGGAATATAGACTGGCAAGTCTCTGACAGTGTTCAAGCTCTTTGTTAAGTGAGCGTAATAAAAGAGGAAAGAAGTTTCTCTTTTAGAAAATGTTTAAAGTTTAGAGTTAAGTAAAAGTTGCAAGGAACATAGAACTGCCTGCAATAGTTACCTTTTCAACTAATAGTTCAAAATCAAAATTTCTTAGTGAGCTAGAATCTTAGTCCCTTGGATTCTCAGATTGTATCAAAACAAATCTAAATTAATGTATCAAAATGCTGATGGAAATGCTCTCAGACTAGCAAAGAAACAGGAATGTGAAGTCTTCTTTAAGAAAACTGCTTATATTTCTATGCATTGCAGATTATTTTATCCTTAATATTGTTATCATAATTATTATTATATTGTTTACAGTGTGAATTATGATTCTCACAATCTTGTCATTTAGAGTTCTTTCTCTTTTCCACGTCTGGGGGCAAATAGAAGAGGAAGTCAACAAGAGCTGACAATTTTTATTCCAGTTCGCTTCTCACTCACTTTATATGAATGTGCTGACAGAAATGCAATGTTGTCTGAAAACATCCAACAGAATATTAATTTCTGTA